CCCCCCTGCCTGCCATGGGCAGCCCCAGTAAGCCCCCCCTGCAACCACCCAGCCTCCTTCCCTGAGCCCTCCCACCCATCCTAAGTCTTACACAGCCCCATCCTGCTCACCTACCACCCCCTCACTCCTGCATTTCCCACCCCCACAGCTCCCTGCCCTGAAAGAACCACAGAACACCAAGTAAATCTTTTAGTAAAAGATCATTTCAATAGCCATGGGCAGCCCCAGTAAGCCCCCCCTGCAACCACCCAGCCTCCTTCCCTGAGCCCTCCCACCCATCCTAAGTCTTACACAGCCCCATCCTGCTCACCTACCACCCCCTCACTCCTGCATTTCCCACCCCCACAGCTCCCTGCCCTGAAAGAACCACAGAACACCAAGTAAATCTTTTAGTAAAAGATCATTTCAATAGCATTGGTTGTCATAGGGCTAAGCTGGCCAAGATCTCTGTAGTCAAAATCAATGAGCAATGTTCAACTGTTTAATGTTTGTATAGTGGCGGGGTTGTGTTAACACTTTCGCCTCTCCTGGACCACTTACACCTTAGATATTAACACAGCAGATCCAAGGTCTCTCTCTCCAAGCCAATGGATAATGGGACGTCTCAAAAATAAAAGGGACTTAGTGCTCATTGTCAACCCATGCTGGTTAAATGAGCAGCATTCTTTGGACAGGAGTAAATCCACCAAAGTTGCCTCTGGATTTTATCCCACAGTGGTAGGGATCAACTACTAGGAAATACTCTTCTTTGACTAGCCCCGATTTGCAACTCAAATCTGCTCAGCCATGTCACCAGCAGCTCTTTCTATAGCTGTCACATACGTGTCCCCAGAAAATGCTGCCCTGCCCAGAGCTCTCCAGGAGGCAAAATAAATCTTAATCCATTGCTCTTTAAGCAACAACCATGGAAACAAGCACCAGTTAGAATCATAGAATCTCAAAGCTGGAAGAGACCTCAGGAGGTCATCAAGTCCAGCCCCCTGCCCAAGGCAGGACCAATCCCAACTAAATCAACCCAGCCAGGGCTTTGTCAAGCTGAGACTTAAACACCTCTAGGGATGGAGATTCCACCACCTCCCCAGGTAACCTATCCCAGTGCTTCACCACCCTCCTAGGGAAATAGTTTTTCCTAATTTCCAACCTAGATCTCCCCCACTGTAACTTGAGATGACCGGTCCTTGTTCTGCCGTCCATCACTACTGTGAACAGCCTTTCTCCATCCTCTTTGGAACCTCCCTTCAGGAAGCTGAAGGCTGCTATCAAATCTTCACTCTTCTCTTCTGCAGGCTAAACAAACCCAAATACCCCAGTCTCTCCTCATAGGTCATGCGCTCCAGCCCCCTAATCATTTTGGTCACCCTCCTCTGGACCCTCTCCAATGTGTCCTCATCCTTTCTATAGTGGAGGGCCCAGAACTGGACACAATACTCCAGATGAGGCCTCATCAGAGCCAAATGAAGGGGAATAATCATTTCTCTAGATCTGCTGGCAATGCTCCTCCTAATGCAACCTAATATGCCATTAGCCTTCTTGGCTACAAGGGCACACTGTTGAATCATATCCATCTTCTCATCCACTGTAATCCCCAGGTCCTTTACTGCAGAACTGCTACTTAGACTCATAGACTCATAGACTTTAAGGTCAGAAGGGACCATTATGATCATCTAGTCTGACCCCCTGCACAGTGCAGGCCACAAAATCTCACCCACCCCTCCTAGAATAATCCTCTCACCTATATCTCAGATATTGAAGCCTTCAAATACTTTGAAGACCCCAAGATGCAGAGCCACCCCTCCCAGAATAATCCTCTCACTTATATCTCAGATATTGAAGCCTTCAAATACTTTGAAGATCCCAAGATGCAGAGAATCCTCCAGCTGTGATCTGTGCCCCATGCTACAGAGGAAGGCGAAAAACCTCCAGGGTCTCTGCCAATCTACCCTGGAGGAAAATTCCTTCCCGACCCCAAATATGGCGATCAGCTAAACCCTGAGCATGTGGGCAAGACTCATCAGCCAGACACCCAGAAAGTTCTCTATAGTAACTCCTATCATCCCTCCATTGACCTATTTCCGACTGATAATGAATGGTCAATTAGTTACCAAGATCATGGTATCTCTTCAAACCATCCCCTTCATAAACCCATGTAGTTTAATCTTGAAACCACTATATTTTTAAGCCGACTAACACAGCAGATACATTGGGATAATGCCCTGATCTTTTAATCAATTAAATAAGCGCTTTAAAAGCTGAAACATGGAGAGAGAGAGAGAGAGAGAGAATTCTATCTTTAAAAGATTTTGGACCATACATGGTTGGATCACATACATTATCAAGAAGAAATGTTTTTAAGTGTCTCAGGCTAATTCTTCAACAGGAATCGTTCTTTTTCATAAGACGCTTTTCTCCAGAATGAAACCAGTTTCAGGAAAACATGTTGGTTACTGAAGAAAGGGTCATGAAATCTGTAGTATGCAGGGGAAAGAAAGGGAGATGTAGAAAGTCTAGAAACTCTTAGGCAAGTAGTCTTAATGGAAACATAATGAATTGCACAATCAAGTTGGGGTTTTAGGCTCTGAATGCCATATAGTTACACACACAAACGGTGAGTTTCTCCTATGTGCTAGATGAATGCAAGGAAGTCTGCAAATCCAACTAAGAGCCTGGGATTTTTGAGTGTTTGAGTTTTTCCCCTTAAACAATTTGTAAAAATACAAAATCAACTTAGACATTGGGGACAGCAAAATAAAACTGGTTTTTTTTTTACATCTGATAGAAAGCCAGTGCCGTGTTTTATATCATCTGCTTACGGATAAACTTCCATATTCCCCAAATAGATAAAAAAAAGTATGGGCCCCATCCCATTTTGACTGAACTTCCATTGTCTTTAGTGGGTCAGGACTGAGTCCTATATTCATTATATACATAAATGCATACAGGTAAAATGCACAGGAACAAATTCTCTCCCATTACATTGGTGTGACTTTACTGGGGCCAATATGCAAGGGTTGTTTTCTACTCTCTGCTAATTATTCCATTACTGAAAATGAGAAGAATTTGGCTCCATAGGAAGGACAAAAATAACTCTCCGTCTATTATATATGTATACAGTATATATCAAAAGCATTTACTGCTTCCATTCCTTTGTGGACAAATAAGGAAAGTGGTTGAGAGCAAAGGAAATGTGGAGAAGAAAGAAAAGAAAAGAGAGAAAGAAAATTGGGAAAGGGATACAGAGAAAGAAAGGGGAAGGGGATACTTAAAAATGCATGCGAGCCTAAGACTTCCCTCTTCTCTAGACTCAGATATGAATTTGATTCAATTTCTGCAAGAAAATGGGACAAATATTGTTCTGGTATAAGCTATCCCAGCATAAATCAGACCTATGAGAGCCAGTAGAATTAATCCAGATCTATCTCGGCATAGCCAGAAGCAGGAAATGGATCTAAGTTAATAGTACATTGGTTTGTTTTGTGTATTTAATATCTGCCACTTTAAAGTTCTTTCTCCACATTGTCCCCCTACAAACCCCACACCTGCTGCATTCTTTCAAAAGCCAAACAACACTAGACATGACACAGCTCATAGAATGTCTTAAAGGAAAATTTACGGGTACCTTGGTCCTTGGTCATGGTATACCCAATTACTCCCAAAGGACTGAGTGTGAAGAAGAAGGAACTGGGGATCTTATTGCTGACAGCTGTTGACTGGAGCAGTCTGAAGAAGCTGGGAGCTCTCTATAGACGGCAGCAGGCACCAAAACCTCTTATTTTACACTCCTATCGATATGAATAGTAATGAGATGGGCAGTTTGCAAGTCCATTAGAATCCTGACGTCCTCTGACGCAGTCCAATCCTCGCTCACAGAAACTCTCCCTTGGTCCATGTAATCCCAGGCAGGAGTAAGCTGCTTGCGTACAGTATAGAAACTCTCCCTTGGTCCGTGTAATCCCAGGCAGGAGTAAGCTGCTTGCGTACAGTAATTCTTGCCACACCTATGACCTAGACCCAGCCTTTCTTTGGAAGGCAACACATATTAAGACAGGCTGGAGGGCGAAGGCATTCTCAAAGGTGTGCTTTATTGCTGCTCTAAAAAGAGACATTCTCTACCACCTGGGGATTTGAATAAACATCCGTTTGCTGAGCGTGCTCCTTGCAGACTTTATGTGCCGGCAGCTGTGGTCGCTAGTTTGTTCACTTTGTGCTCCGTCAAGCCATAGGTAGTGTCAGCTGTGGTAGCTAGTTTGTTCACTTTGTGCTCCGTCAAGCCATAGGTAGGAAGCTGGCCCATATGGTGTGACACTTCCATCTCCTTTCCTCTCAAGCACTTGTATAACCCAGCCATGATCTGCTCTCCTGGTTTTAAATGAATGTGTCATACGTCTAAGGCCTGGTCTGTTCTAGAAATATCTGCCTCCTAACCACTTGGTGCCTCTAATGAGCCAAACAACACACAGAGCACGAACATGCCAGATTGCTCCCAGTGGACCACTTGGTGCCTCTAATGAGCCAACAACACACCAAGCACGAACATGCCAGATTGCTCCCAGTGGCACACAGGCGATCATGCCATTTGAAGACCTGCTCTGAGCAAGGCCAGTCATCATCATGCTATGGGGATAATGCCAAGAATGTTGTTTTTTAAAAGAAACAGCTGATCAGCATAGTGCGGTGGCCATTGAGAGATGATGCTTTGAGTTACAGGGACAGTACCACATTATTGTACTCAAGAAAACCATCTAGATTGAAAGCCCTACACGTGAGCAGCTGAAACTAAAATTGACAGGGAGGCAGGACTTTAGCTCCGTCGACGGAGCCTTGTAGTCTAGACATACCCATGTATTCCAACTGAGGTGTGCCCGCACCATTGCTGTCATGGTAATGGACACCTTAAAAATGTGGATTTTGGCCCATTTCTAATTTGATGAGCTTGCAAGTTTTTGTCCATTTTGTCCATGTACCCAGAAGATACAATGGAGGACATTGAAATAAAAAATGGTTACTCAACATTGTAACTGTTGTTCTTCACCATGTGCTGCTCATAAGGGGTATGTCTTGACTACATGGCTCCATCAATGGAGCCATGTAGATGAGTTTACTAGACATAGGGAAATGAAGCAGCAATTTAAATAATTGCTGTTTCATTTACATCAAAATGGCCACAGTGCAAAGTAAAGGTGTGGAACAAGGACCATGTTGCAGCCCTGAAGATTTCCTGGAGGAACATGGGCCAGTAAAGCAGCCAAAGAGGCCTGCGCCCACATAGAGTGTGCCATGAGAGAAGTAGCGGTGGTCGACAAAGGCTTCTTTTGTTGACCATGGCAGGGTCATAACACATGCAGATGCACACCGTGATCCAGGAGGAGATGTGCTGCAATGAATTGGGTAGCCCCTGCACGTAGTCTGCCACTGATACGAACAGCTGGGAGGATTTATCAAAAGGTTTAGTCCTGTTGATGTAGAATGCGATAGCTCGCCGGACATCCAGGGAGTGCAGTCGCTGTTCTCCAATTGGCATTCACCCGAGAGTTCTCAGAAAACTCAAATGTGAAATTGCAGAATTGACTATGGTTTCTAACCCGTCTTTTAAATCATCGTGTGCACCAAATGACTGGAAGATTGCTAATGTGATGCCAATATTTAAAAAGGGGTCTTGAGGTGATCCTGGCAATTACAGCATGTAAGTCTAACATCAGTACTGAACAAATTAGTTGAAACTATAGTAAATACAGGGGTCAGAGTCAATGCGTAGCTGACTCAAGTAATGTGGCGCCAAAAACTCCATCACGTCTGGACGTATGTTCAATAGCACAGTGCAAAGTAAAGGCGTGGAACAAGGACCATGTTGCAGCCCTGAAGATTTCCTGGAGGAACATGGGCCAGAAAAGCAGCCAAAGAGGCCTGCGCCCACATAGAGTGTGCCATGAGAGAAGTAGGGAACCCTTAGCAGGGTCATAACACATGCAGATGCACACCGTGATCCAGGAGGAGATGTGCTGCAATGAATTGGGTAGCCCCTGCACGTAGTCTGCCACTGATACGAACAGCTGGGAGGATTTATCAAAAGGTTTAGTCCTGTTGATGTAGAATGCGATAGCTCGCCGGACATCCAGGGAGTGCAGTCGCTGTTCTCCAATTGGCATTCACCCGAGAGTTCTCAGAAAACTCAAATGTGAAATTGCAGAATTGACTATGGTTTCTAACCCGTCTTTTAAATCATTCATGTGCACCAAATGACTGGAAGATTGCTAATGTGATGCCAATATTTAAAAAGGGGTCTAGAGGTGATCCTGGCAATTACAGCCTGTAAGTCTAACATCAGTACTGAACAAATTAGTTGAAACTATAGTAAATAATAGAATTGACAGACACATAGATGAACATAAACAGTTGGGATAAAGTCGACATGGTTTCTGTAAAGGGAAATCATGCCTTACTAATCTACTAGAGTTCTTTGATTATGTCAACAAGCATGTGGACAAAGGGGATCCAGTGGATATAATGTACTTAGATTTCTAGAAAGCCTTTGACAAAGTCCCTCACCAAAGGCTCTTAAGTAAAGTAAGTTTTCATGGGATAAGAGAGCAGGTCCTCTTGTGGATTAATAGCAGGTTAAAAGATAGGAAAGAAAGGGTAAATACATGGTCAGTTTTCAGAATGAAGAGAGATAACTAGTGGTGTTCCGCGGGGGTCTGTACTGGGACCAATTCTATTCAAAATATTCATGAATGTCCTGGAGAATGGGATAAACAGTGAGGTGGCAACATTTGGAGATGATACTGAACTGCTCAAGATAGTGAAGTCCAAAGCAGAGGTGAAGAGCTTCAAAGGGATCTCACCAAACTAGGTGATTGGGAAACAAAATGGCAAATGAATTTTAATGTTGATAAATGCAAAGTAATGGATATTGGAAAACATAATCCTAACTATATGTACAAAATGATGGGGACTAATTGGCTATTACCACTCAAGAGATTCAGGGGGTAGCCAAGTTAATCTGTAGAGGATAAACTTAAAGTACAACAAATAGTCTGGTTGCACCTTAAAGACTAACAAAACATGTAGATGGTATCATGAGCTTTTGTGGGCACAGCCCACATCTTCAGATATTGGAGTCATTGTGGATACTTTTCTAAAAACAATGCGTAGCGGCAGTCAAAGAACCAAACAATGTCAGGAATCATTAAAAATAGGGTATTCTACACTTGCACCCTAGTTCGAACTAGGGATGCAAATACAGGCGTTTGAAATAGTCAATGAAGCAGGGATTAAAATATCCCGCGCTTCATTAGCATGATCTCGTCGGTGTGTTACTCCGAATGCCAGCTGTTTCAAAAGTGAAAGTGCATACCGGGACACATTAGTCGTCGATTGTCCACCAGTGGAGGGAAGACTTGACCGTGGAAGGGACGGTTACCCACTTGCGTACATTGTGTGTTATGGGATCGTATATTGTGATCAGCCAGTGTTGTTGTGGTCGAAAGAGCAGCCTGGCATGGGGAACAAAGTAAGTCGTGGAAGCCATATGACCCATTAATTTGAGAACTGTGATGACTTGTACTAAGTGCATCTATAGAAGTTGGTCCAATAGGTCTTACAAAGCCCGGAACCTGGGAAGGGGTAGATATGCCCTTGCTGTGACTGAGTCGAGGCGTGCACCTATAAACTCTAGGCTCTGAGAAGGTATCAAAGTGGATTTGTCCTTGTTGAAAGGGAGACCTAGGAAAAGGAAAGTATTGGTAGTCATCCATACTAAGTGTGAAGTTTCTGTCGATGAACATCCTTTTATTAGACAATAGTCTAGGTAAAGATGTATGGTGTTTCCCATGCGTCGAAGATGGGCAGTGATGACCGCGAATGTCTTTGTGAAGACCCTTGGCGCTGTGGCAAGACCAAAAGGAAATACTCGATATTGGAAGTGGTCCATGCCAATTGTGAAATGTAGACATTTTCTGTGAGTGGGATGAATCGTCATGTGGAAATAGGCATCTTTGAGGTTGAGAGCAGCAAACCAATCACCCTGCTCCAGAGCCGGTAGAAGTTAAGGTCACCATCTTGAAACATTGTTTTTTAATGTGTTTAACTGTCGAAGGTCCAATATGGGTCTCCATCCACCATTTTTTTTCTCCACGAGGAAATAACGGGAATAGAATCCTCTCCCTTGAAACTAAGATGGAACCCTTGCTATTGCTCCTATGTGGAGGAGATGAGAGATTTTGACCCACAGTAGATCTTCATGAGAGGGGTCACTGAAGAGGGATGGGGATGGGGGAGTTGTCAGGGAGAAAGAAAGGAATGGAATCACATAACCTGAATGGATTATTTCTAAGACCCAAGCATCTGTAGTGATCTTGGCCCATTGGTTGTAAAAGGGTCTTAGACGATGGTGAAAGATGTGACTGAGGAACATCAACAGATATAACTATAGAGAATTATTATAAAAAGAACTGAGGAATTATAACTGTTGGGTTTTTTTCTCACAAAAAGGTTGAATAAGAAGGGGAGATGATTGCTCCAACTGCAGCCTGAGGCAGCTGAAGAGGAACTGGTTGAGACCGGATCGCGCAGCACGGGAGAGCGCAAATGCTGCAAGATGCCCCTCCCCACACATGCGTGGTCCAGCTGACTATGGCTTTAAACATCTCCATCCTGTGGCACCGGGGCATGCCCAGCACCTAATGTGGAGCACCCACAGGGACACGCATCTCAAAGAATGACAGTTACTGCATGAAGGTGAGTAACTTCGCTTTCCGATGGTTGATTAAACATGTCATGGCAATGATGAATTTCCTTTAGTATCCGTCCAAACCTGATGTAGACAAGCAACGACTTTGCAAAGCCAAGTTCCAGAAAGTGCAGAAAGTACATAGGGATACAGAGATTCCCTTGTGTTCACCAAAATAATTCAATGTAAATG